AGTGCTGAGAGCAAACAAAACAGTACAAGTGCTAGGCAACGGTCTGGATTGCAACACGCCGTGCACTGCAGCTCCTGCAGAAGCTGCTGAGAGGCTGGGAGCACGCCGGTAGTATTTCAGTCCTTGGCTTCAGATGCAAGTGCTATAAGCGTCCCTACATTTTAGTCATCTGCAGCTGTAACTGTCATTGGAAGTCTGCAGAGGCACTGAGCAGTTCAGGCTAGCTATGACCTTTTACATTGCCATATATATCCAGAAAACATTCTGTCTGTAGCAAAGAATCCCTGTTCCCAGTGGTTTCTGGCCACGTGGGCGTGTATGTGTGTACGCACGCACGCAGTCACACACGTATGTGCTTTGGAGAGTTCTGCTCTCATTTTCTGCCTTCTAGCCATGTCCATAAGCAGCTGGTCAGAGACAAGTGTGTGGCCCCTTAGCAAAAAGAACTCTGGGAAAGAATCTGCTTCTGATTCCTGGCTCTAGCTTGACCCTGAAGAAACAGAGGGCATGGATTAAATGGAAAACCATTTCCAAGCCTGGTTTAGTTCTATGTTATGAAGTTCAGCTACTGAGTTTCTCAGTTCCCTTGCGCAGGAGCGTCTCTGCCTGTCTGTCTGGTGGTTTTCTGATAAGACCGGTGTCATTTCAGTAGTGGCTCTTCTTGCGGAGCTGCTGTTGGCCACAGCCATCCCCCAGGCATTGCCCTGCATTCTCCCCTCCAGACACCCGACCTGCCTGAGGAAACCCCACAAGCTCTCCAGCGCTTGCCATTAACAGCAGGGTTTCACATTTCTGAGAAAGTCTGCAACAGACACCCATGTAACCAATTCATTTCCTCCTTATCTAGGCTGCCTGTTCCACCACCGCAGCATATGAGCATCTACTCCATTTTCTTCTGCAGGCTGGATTACTAAAATACACTGTACTGGGGCTTCTCGCAAGCACGCCTTAGAAGATTCTGTTAGAGCAGATTGGAGCTGTTTGCTTGGCTTTTAATGCTAACCGCACTGAGCTTATTAAAACTGTTCTCCACAGATTGCCTTAGCTTATTTAAGATTTATAAATCTCTTGGATTTATGCCACTGGTACCTTGGGTACTCAGGCAGTGTCCTTTCCTTGGGTTCCCCCCAACTCTGGCTGTCAGCCAGAGAGCACAGGCAAACCATCCCCAGCACTGAAATCTGAGGAGAGGCTGCCTTATCTCAGTTTTGCTTTTTTGCCTTTTTTTTCCCCTTCTAGTGGTTACGCCAAATGAGATTGATGGTTTTCCGAGAAGGAAGAGCTGCTGCTTTTACCCTGCCCTTTTTCTAAGGGACGAATGCAGTGCAAGGCAAGGTGGCAGCCACAAGACTTCACGTTTTCCACAGGCCAAGTTGCTTGGGAAACATCTGAGACAAGTTCCAGAAATTTTGCAGTAGAATTGTACTTTTAAGAGAAAAAATACCAAACCGACAACAGAAATGGTTTATTCCAGCTAATAAGTCTTGGCATTTTTTGTGTAAGTCTTTATAGGCCTTCAGGCAGAGCAAAGGAAAATTTAAAATCAACAAATAACCTATTACAGAGAAAGCCAAATACGCCATTAGGCATATGAAGTGTGTCAGCTCTGCTTCGCATTGTGCAATGTCTTCTATCACAAGATCTGGTAAATAGAATGTATGTAGCTTGCTGTGACATAAGGATGGCTGTCGTTGTTTTACAGCCGAACGAGTAAGCGCGTAGAGATCTCCGAGCACCTAACCTGCTGTGGGGAGAGGGGACGGAGACAGACCCCAGAGGGTGTTTTTCCAGAGTGCTGCCTAGCTATCCCAGCCCTCAGCCTCTCCACTCCCCTTCCTCCTCTGTTCGGGCACGTCCAATTTCCAGCCATCCATAAGGCATCTGCTTCAAACATTGTTGATGAACCAGAGGACCACCGTCCAGCGTGGTGCTCAGCATCCCCGAGGTCTGTCTTCATGTCTGACACTTTTCTCACTTCTGCCAGGACAGACCGTACCAAGGGGACAGGTGGTATCAGGGTGACATTTGGGACCTTAAGAGGGAGGAGGCAGCTCAGCGGCTGCTGGCTGCAGAGTGCTCTGAGATGCAGGCGAGAGTCTCTCTTACAAATGCGATAGTCATGGCAACAGAGCTCCAGCTTCTCCTGGAGAGCAGTAATTCAGCTTTAGATATAATTCCGTATATTTGTTTTGTAGTGCAGTATTGCTCACCCAGTAGTATGCTCAGAACTCATGAACTATTTTTCTCTTACCATACCAAAGATGGGGAGAGCCACCCACTTTGCTTTTCTAGCACTCGCGTCCACGAGGGTGAGAGCAGGGGTAGGTCACAGCTGGGTGACTTAACGCATTTCTTAGGCTTTTCTTATCGCAGGATACAAATTTCCTCCCTTTGCCAGCGTATCCCCGCGTACCCTTTTAAGTACTGCATTCTGCTGCAGTGCCCGGGGAACTCCTCACGTAGCGTGAAGAAGGCAGCTGCCCGGGAGAGGTAAAGCAGAGCCGCGGTCAGCAGTGAATACAACTTAAGACAAGAAAGAGGAGTTTCATTCGGCTGGTGTCTGCAACCCGCAGGCAGACCCTCGCTTAACAGCCAGGCGGTTGTCAGCTGGCAGGGCAGCACACTTGAGCATCCCTGTAAGACTGGCAGGAGGATGAGCAGTGGTCAGCAGCGACAAGGCACACGTTTCTGCATGAAAATGAGGCAGAAATTCTTATTTGTAGGCACCTAGCGTACAAGATAGCTGTCTGTGTGGCTCTTGCAGGTGGTATGCAGCAGTACGAGCAGGCAGTAACGCTCGCGGGAACGCTTTTTTTTCCGAGCTAGCTACTAAAAGGGAACAACATTAAAGCGTAAATGACCTGGGGACCTTAAGGCTCAAACGCTGCCTGAGGGCTGCACAGTAGGTTTATTGCCTGCACGCATGGGCTTCTCACCAGCAAAGGAACTGGTATCTCCTGGGATCAGCCAGAAGGAATGGTTTTATAGAGGTGGAAGAAATAACTAGCAAAACCAACACAGTAGCTCAAGAACAGGAGTCTCTGGTTTGCTGAGGTTTAGTCCAAGCCTGAGAACTGGTTTCCCTTTTCGGAAACGTTTTGCTGCGTAACAGACCACACATCCTCCTGTTTCTCTTAGACTTCGTCCATTCTCTTTTCCTTCTGTTTTCTCTGCATAATCCTCCCATTGGTATGGTCTACAGACTGTATGCCATGGACAGGTTGTCTCATGCTTACTGTTTTAAACATCACAAGAAAAATTATGTTTACACTGAGGGGAAAAATAAAAAGAGTAAAAAAATACTGTAGACAGCACTTAAATGAATCAGCACTGGCAGAGGAGCTCCGGAAACCTCCCACAGACGAAACCCACCACCCATGCTTGCCCTGCTTGAGACTCTCCTCAAGGAGCTTGGGCAGCTCTGGTCACCCCACCGTGGTGTAGGGGGCAGAGGGTTAGCAACCACACACCACTTTTGGTGACCAAGTAGTCCCCAGCGCTGCAGTCAGAAGCCCCCTTTGCCTCCAGGGAGCTGCCTGTTGTCAACAGGCATCCATTGCAGCACAAGGGACACTGGGGGGTGTTTAACTGAGGAACCTCTACCCTGCTCAGGACTTTCTGCCATCCCAGGCACCGTGATCGGCTGCTCCAAGGGTGCTTTGTGAGGGCTGCAGACACCCAACAGCCCCTCACCTCCACAAATTTGCTTTCCTGCAGCACAAGGGTACAGCCCGCACATGGATGAAGCGCGTGGTGTGTCCATGACTAATTCTTGCCCTAAATTTTTTCAGACAGAGATTCATAGCTGCTATTCCTCTCATTCACAGAACAGGGAACACAAAACATTGTGTCCAAAATCATGCCCCGTGCAAGCAATGGCACAGCTGTCACGCCAGCTACTTCCCACAAGCATGGCATGGGTGCTGATCCAGGCACTAAAGCCCCTCTCACTGCCTTTTCTCTTCAGCAAGGAACAAAATTGTTTTGCTCAGAGCTGACTGTCTTTACATTTGGAATACCCAGATTTCAGTCATTCAGAAAATAATAATTTATCGTGTTGTAATTCAATTTCCACCAGGAAAAGCAAAGATTTCCAGTGCTATTTTAGTAATTACATTCCACATCAGCAGTACAAAACTATAGTGAAACCTAATGCAAGCTGGCTTAGTGAATCACAGCTAGCAGTCCTATCAAGTACAGGAGGAAAAAAGAACATTGGAGAGCTGTCTTAAATCTGTTCAAATATGCTTAAGAACTGGGATATGTGAACTGCATGAAATACAAGTAATTCAAACTGATGCCATTTTTGTGGCTCTCCTTTTCTAGCCTGAGCTCAGAACACTTGCCTTGAAGGCAGTCTCCCATACTATTCTCTCCAATATAATTGACTAATGTTTTCCCTTAAAGAATGTGCCAAACAAAGTTTAGTCTCAGAATGAGCCAAGAAAATGCTTCTTGAAATAACAAAACACATCAGAAAATGTTTTCTTTTTAGAAAAAAATCCCAAATGTAACAAAAATAAAGTGTCTATGAAGTGTCTGTTTCTTGAAGTGGCAGCGTATTTCACAGAATGCCTTTCATAATGGATTGATTTAATTGTGATGACAAGTATTCCCCTTTTATTAATATTTTTCAGTATCATCTACAAGATGTAAAAAGCTGTAATTGTTAATGGAAAACAATACATACCTGGCAGAGCTCACATGGTAAAACCAAACATAGCTAGGGTTTCAGTTTGGCAGTATCTTGTACCTCTAAGCAGACACAGTGACAGGCATGCCTTCATATACATACATTCATATACATAGCATACACTCAACAGTACTTAATTAACATACTTGGCGGAGAACTTTACCATTAGTTTTGTCAAAAGAAGAGTTTCCCTTCCTTTATAAAACAAGAGCAAGGAATATCACTTCTGCTTTACTCTAAACATGGTCTGTCTTCACCGTGACAAGTTCTCTAGTTTCTGATTCATCCTTTCCTCCCTTTGTATCTCTCACTGTTGCCTGTATGTAGACTCATGGAAAATTTTCTCCACTTGTTTCGCAAAGCCAGGACTGTTCTCTTACAGTGTATTAAGAACAAAAAAAAAGGTCTTCTCCTGGGCAAGTGGGTTATTCAGTGGCCTCACAGGTACCACAGAGTTGTATTTTATGTTTTTAAAAGCATTGAGAAGGGAGGTGAAAGACTGAAGCACATACTGAGATCCATTCAGAAAATTTTGTCAATAGCATAATAATCACTAGGCCATTCATGTAAGTTTCCCAAGACATGTTCACTACAAGGCATCTCTGCAAAAATTATTCCAGATTTAACACAAAATTTATCTTGCAGCAGGTTTGGATGGCTTCATCTGCATTACTGTCAGCACACAGAGTCACAAACTTACAGAGAACAGCCTCAGTAATCTCATTACTGCTGCAAACTCCTGGAGCTCCGCTTGTGAGCTCTCTGATTTCAGCCGAGAGGCAACACAGTTTATTAATTGGTTTGGAGTCTCCTAGACCTGCACTCAAGCTGTTAGCCTTTTGCTGCTGTCTGCCGAGAATGGTTCATCTGGAGTTAGTAGTGCCCATTACAAAAAACACACACATCAAAAAGTGATTCTTTGGTGTGACTAATGTCTGCTTTCTCCATTATTAAAAAAAAAAAAAAAAAAAAAAAAAAAAAATAGAGAGAGAAAGAAAAAAGCTAAAGAGCTACTGAGTATTAGGATAATGTAAGAAAATAATTCCTTGCCTTTTCTAAATAACAAACTTGTTTGACAGGAGGAAGCTATTACTCGTGCTGATGAAAGAAGGCAGAAATGCTGAGAGAAAAGCTGATATTCAAGTTCTGTAATTTCCAGCCCTTTTTGCTGATGAGCTCGATGCTGAGCACTCTCCAGCCTGCAAGCAGGCTGGCCACTTCCCATGGGAACCCAGAAGCCGCCACCACCAGCAAGTCCATCCAGGGGGGTCCAGCTCTTGTGGTGGTTCCTGTGTTGCTTTATCACTGTTTGCACAGCTTGAGCTGAACTTGCAGGAGCATCTCCCCGTTGTGCAAAGAAGTTGGAGGGGCTGGGGTTTTTACTTCTGTTAACCCGGCTTAGGGACCTGAGCAAACCCCTGAGGGCAGAGCGGGGCAGAAGGGGTCCTGCCACTTCCAGCAGCTGCCAAACCCATTTAGCTGTAGCAGGAAAGTGCAGCCAAGGCTCACACCCGCCAGGGAATTTAGGCAACTGAATTGGCCTTTAAATTGATCTGGGCACTCCAGTGCCCTCGCCCAGGTTGCAGATGACATCTGGGGCAGAACGTGGCCTTGGACATTAAGGGCAGAGGGCCCAGAGAGCCTGGTGTGACCCCACCGCTCCTGTTGCCTCTGCTCCCCCTCCTTTAATCTCCTTCCCCATAAAGCACCGGTTGCTGTGCAGCCTCCTGGTTGAGGAGGAAGAAGTGGGGTCACCGGTGGGACAGTGGGTGTTCCCCTCAGCCACCCCAAGAGGTCTCTGGCATGAGACTCTCCAGGCCTGGACACCTTCCCTGTGGGCTCGGTGCTCTCCCAGTTCCTCCTGCCCGGAGATGCCCATCAAGCTCTCCCACAGCTGGGGCTGGGCCTGACGCACCCAGAGGCTTTTCCTTTTTTTACACACGAGGTTAAGCCAGCATTAGTCCGGTTAAATCTAAGTATAGCACAGGCGGCAGGAGTCACCCACCGCTCCCTGCCTTCCCGGCCTTACAGCACTGACTGGCTCCCCGCCATAGTGCGCTTCTGTCCTTAAATATTAATTCCATTTTATCAGCAGAGCTTCAGGTGTTTTCCAATGAGTGGGTAAAGAGCCAGAATCCGCATTTGACGTGGGAAGAGGAGAGCCACAGAGAGCAACAGCACTTTTATTCTGCAGTAGCACAAAGCCCACACGGAGCCTCCCTCCCTCTACCTCCATTTTGCATCAGGCCACAACATTTTCCTCATTAACTGAGAGTCCGCTGTAAATGGTGTGTTTTAATGTTGTGATAACAAAAACACGAGCAGGAGAACTAGCTGCCTCTAGAGGGCAGGGGACGAAACACTGCAACTCCTTTTGGGGTAAAAATAATTAACTGTATTAAAACCAACCAGGTTACGTTTTGGTTTTTTGTTTTGTTTTGGTTTTTTTTTTCCTAGAGCAGGTTCAGTCTGGGTCAAGTCAATAAATACTGGAATAAGCGTATCTTTAAAGATACGTGGTTATCTGATCATGCAGTCTTGCACATGAAGGAGGTCACTCTGGATCTTACAGGAGTGGTGGATTTGGGAGAAAACTCTGCTCTGCCCATTAGAGAGCAGAGCAGTACATTATTGGCAGTGCAGCCTGCAGTGGGAAGCTGACAGCATGAACAATGAAAATGTCTTACACATGGACATAAAGATGGAGTACACCTGTACACTTGTTTGTTACGTGCGTTTAGTCCTCTGTAAAGCTGTGGAAATGCAGGTGTGGGACCTATACCTTCTACACAGAACCTCCAGAGCAGCACCTGGTGTTTGGCTGGCCATGCTTCCGCGGCACACAACTTATCTTCAAATGATTCAGCAGCAGTTTGGGTTTATTTCTTTTGTTTGCAGGAAAACACAAAGAAAAGAAAACAATTCAGAGGTTTGCTTTTGCAGTAAGAACAAAGTGGCAGTGGGCTAAGTGCACTGAGCAGTAATTATAATAAAACACAGAGCTTCTGTGCTAATGATCCCTTAAATTAAATTCCCATGTGACCCAATATAGGGCCAGGCATGTGCAGCTTCTGTGCTTGGTTGCTGCCCTCTCTTGGTGGCATGACCAGCCTCCAGGAGAAAAAATACAGGATGAAGGTTGACAAGAAGAGAAAAGTGTCAGAACACACTCACTTAGGGATGGAAGAAAGAGTCTTGTACCAAAGCAAAAAATGAAACATTTTCCACATTGGAAAAATAATGAATTGCTTGTAAGAAGCCAGATCTCCTGTCTTTTCTAAGACTTGGTATGTGTGAGATGAGCCAGAACTGATTTGGGTGATGAGACTGTTTGTCACAGGCAAACATTATCCTTTCCTATACATTATTTTATATACCCAGCAACTACTTTGGCCTTCTTCCCCCATAAAAGCAATTTTATAAAAAAGACCGATTTCTGCTTTTTAGTCCCTAGAAGAATATTTGAGCAGACTTCCAAAGCATTGCCTCAATACGTTGCCTTCTATAAAGATTTCCATCTCTAGTGTACATGTATGTACCTTTCATTATCAATGTTAGAAAGGCTGAAAGAAAAGTGGGTCCTGTGAATAATGGCACATCTTTGTGGCAAATTTTAAAGGAGAAGCCTCTGCCTGAGCATTACCGCCCCGCTCAAGGAGTGACACAGAGCACCCAAGTCTTTCCCTGTTCAGACCAGGATTCCTTTGCATTGAGTGACTCCTGGGAGCTGACAGGTCCCCCTTCCCCCTCCTCACACACACAGTTCCTCATGGGTGAGACCCCTCCTTCTTCAGGCTCCGTCCTAGCAGAGTCTCAGGCATCAGATCTTATAAAAATAAGTAATTTAATTGAAAGGTCCAGCAGCAGGGTCAGCCTGGGCTGGGCGCCTCCAGAGAGGAACCTTGAACAAAGAAATCCCTGGGCAATGACATCCTTCTGATCTCTACACCCGCCCCTCAGGCACTCTTCGGGTCTTTCAGACCAATGGTGATTTTTGGTCTGGGGTCTTCTAACACCTTCTGGGATTATTTTTGTGTGTCCAGGCAGGCCGTTGGCTGCTCTAACCCTGTTGATGTGCAGTCTCTGCTGGGGGTTGTCACCTCTTTATCTCCTGGTTTACGCTTCTCATGCACCTGCACTCCCTGGCAGTGGGGAACGGAAAAGTCCTAGACTTTGGGAAAACACTACCAAAACATCAGTGCGTTATCAATATTTCCCTCATACTAAAAGACTAAGCTCAGCACTGTACCAACTGATAGGAAAAGTACTGAGAAAATTCATTCCATTGCATCCTAAAGGCTTCAGGAAATCTAGCAGCTCATGCTAAGTAAAGCTAAGCACACAGCATAAATCACACCATGTTATAATCCTAAGTAATTTATTATAATTAAAATTTACTTATTTAAGCTAACCAACTAATATCTCTTAGCAAGATGGATGTCACCAAATTCCACCAAAATCACAAAAAAGCAAAGTCAATATATGATATAGCGTGCTGCATAATGCATTAATCCTCCTTCAATGGATGTGGCAAAAACATGCCGAATCCAGTTAAATGCTGAATATCTGGGTAATAATACAAAGCCTTGGATAAACAAAGTTCAAAATATGTTCCCCAGTTGAGTTGAAGAGACATGTATGGGAAGTGGGAATCGGACCATAAGCAGTGAAAAGGTTCTCAGTTTACATGGTGACTGGAGTATGCATACCTGCCTCAAAGTAGTATTATCCATGTGGTCTGTGGTGAGAAAAGTGCTTTAAAGAACTTGTTTCTGGTCAAGATTTTTATTTAATTCATCTAGACGATCGAAAACAAGAGGTGTTCAATGGCTCGTGATTACAGTGAGAAAAGTAAAACCAAACAAAAGTGAAATTGTTTAGAGTAGCACACTTGCATTAAAAATTTTGTCACAAAAATGCATGCAGTGTTTAAGAAATCACAGCCATCGACTACAGAAGTGCCTTTTTAAACAGTATTTATTGATAAAGCAATATACATATGAAATGATATATGACAGGTAGTACATTTTTCTACAATGGTCATTTACAATACATTAATGTGTCTAAGAGCCTTCCATGCTGTTTTGGCAATCTTTAATTAAATTGATTCAACCCAGAGAGGGCTGTCAGTTGGCAGGTCTGCTGGAAGTCAGGGCTCCTTCTTTGCCCTGATAAACCAATACCAACTCTAACAAAGCAGGAAGTGGTTTGTTGGCAGACATTATTAGACAAACTGATATAGTTGGAAAAATCAGAGAAAATTTTGGGTCCTCAAACCTGGAAATCTGAAGAAAGGCTTGAGTGACTTAAAGTTTGTCCATTTCTGCCTGTTATACCAGTTATTTAATAAAGTGTATTACATCTTCCAGCAATCCCTGTTCCTTCTTTGTCCTTATACCATCCTGGTTATGATGAAATACCATTCTGACAAAGACAGAAGGCAACAACCTGATTTAATAATAATGGCATAGTTCATTTCACTAATGAGATTGTCTTTTAGCTGTTTTATCTTTGATGTTTGCTTAGGAACATAGCACCAAGAAATGGATGAGTTCACCAAGAACAAAGCTGTGACTCTAATTCTGTCAACTTGCGCTTACAAACTGAAATCAAAAAGCTATTTTCTATATCGTTTCAGTGCTTCCAGTTTATGAACTTACTCATAAAGCTTTCTTTCCTTGGCAATTTTGCTGCT